AAGTTTTAAGAGTGTTTAATTCGTTTGAACTGCTTCTACAATGACCCAATAGTCTGAGTACTCACCTATCGAAAGGTCGATGGCTTAATACAAAGGACTTTGTGACACTCCTGCCAACTCTAGGATGCTATGCAAGTAAAGTATACAAACAGAGAAGTACCTTCTGCAACCAAACACCTCACATCGAAGACGTAACTTTTACATTTAAGATAGTACTGGAATGTATATAACAGCTGGCATTACCCACTGAGTGTAGTGATTTTAAAATCTGTGCCTAAAAAATGTTACCCATTAGGGTACGAGGCCTGAAATTCCGCCATCCATTCCTTTAAGTGGAGTACTAACCGATATTCTCTCTTAAAATGCAAAAACAGCTTTGGAATATGTCAATAATAGCCGCCATTAATTATTACCATGTGTTATTAGTGTAAATAATACTAGTGAGCACAATTCTCAGAAGCACGTCGAATACCAAAGTACACTAGTCACCAGGCAACTATTGCTGAAGGAATGTCAGATATGGTGACTGATGATTTTATCACTACAAATCAGCAAACTAGACAAATGGAAAGTGCTGTTTAATGTGATCCGTGCTGCAAAAACGGTTCTTCGTGTTATATATAAAAGAACTTTTAACATCTAAGAAGTCATATCATCCAACAAAAATGCTGCACTTTAGCAAACCTCACTTCTATAGCCAGAAATTTAGGCTGGTTCATCTAAATACTTATTTGAAAGAAAAAAAAAAAAGTCTTAAAAACTTATAGAAAAATATCTACCTGTAGGGTAAAAATCATCAACTTTAACCTCTCCAAACCTAGAAGAACGCATGATATTTAAACATTATCCACCTTTAATAATCCACCAGAACTAATCTACTGTCAGTATATTCCTTAACGTGGCCGGCGATACACAAAGCGACAGAAATTGCCACGAGTAAAGGTTCAAGCCTTCCGCTTCTACATCCCAAATGCTGATTAGTCGTGGGGTTTTGTTTATGCTTTTTGTACCGGCTGAACACAATATGCAACTTTCTTTTAATTCTTTTAATCAAGAATTCAGTCCATCACTGGTTCCATTTTTGTAGAAATATGCTGGAAAGTTTAATACTAAACAGCATTGACAAAGTAAAATTCCAAAGACGGTTTCTTACAACAAAACTATTTCTATTTTTGTACCTGGCCCTTCAGCTTCTCTTACCTTCCACCATGTGGCTTCACACAGACAACCCTCCGTAATACATATTCACACTACCCGCCCAGCCCTTGTAGGGTCTCTGGATCTGAGGGAGAGGGAGAAAGAACCGGCTGATTGTGTGTACCAGGATGCTCGTCACATCAGCTTCAAAGGAAGTATCAGCGTGATGCTGGGCAGAGCGCCCAACACATTCATTCAATGGCCAGTTCCTGTGAGCTGAGAATATTGCTACGATTGAAACTGAATTTTTATGGAAGTATAACCCAAAAAAGGCAACTTCCGGGAGTTTTATGGCATGTGACCTATACGATACTACAGGTGACATCTGACACAGCATTTTAAACGGATATGGAGCCACACAGAAATGTACTCTACATATGTATAAAAAGTGATAAAGCACAATGAGGTCAGTAGTTTAAAGCTGAGACTCTAAACACTCTGGTCAATGTTATTGTACACTTTGAAATGTCCTTTCCATAGTACTAGCTCACCACCGAAATAAAATGCGGCCACCATAATGGCTAGCTAGCATTTATTCACTGCTCACTAAGTGTCAAGCACTGCCATAAACACTACACATATTTACTCACCTAATTGTCACAAATAACTACCTAGTTCTAACCCCGCTTCTACCGACAAGAAAGCTGGCAGAAGCTAAGCACGAACACGGCTAACCAGGCGGCCCGCGCCGTGAGTCCAGACCGTCTCTCTTCAGACTCTGTCCCGCTGCCTCTCATCTTCACTGTTCACAGACCTTGGTCGCTAATTATCTCTTAGTCCTCGGTTTCTTTTCCATGAAAAATGAGTCTTCTCTCCCAGCTCTAAATTCTAGTTTAGGAGCTAACGTGAATGTTACCAAAATTCATTTCGGTATAAGAAATTTGTATTTTGCCCACTGTGGCATTTTTCCTCCTAGAAGGATCCTCTGTTATATCAAAGGTCAGCAGTAACACATCAGGTTGTAGGGTCGGATTAGCAGCAAAGGCCAAGGTGTGAAGTGAGCCAAGGCTAACCGAGCCACCTCCCTGCTTTTCTGCACCGCCCCGCACCTGCTCGGACAGGCTGCATCTACCTATTTTTAAAGAGCTTATTTGCCCCTAAAGAGGGCGTGTGGTCGTTTTAAAATATGTCCAAAATTCTTTGATTGTCCTCCCTTCAAGAGGTGGGGCTTAATTAATTCACCTCCCACACGGGGGCTGGACTTGATGCAGTTCTAAAAGATCGTGGCAGAGGCGATGGTGTGTGACAAATGGCATTGCAGCTTCCTTGTTGCTGTCTCTCGGGTCATCTGCTCCAGGGGAGGCCAGCTGCCTTGTCAGGACACTTAAAAAGCCCTAAAGAGGTCCACGTGGTGTGGATTTGAGGCTACGGCCATGTGAGTGAGCCATCGTGGAAGCAAATCTCCCAGCCTCAGCTGGGTCGCCAAACGATTGAAGTCCCAGCCAAGATCTTGGCTGCAACCTCGAGAGACCCTAAGTCAGAAGCCACCAGCTTAGCCACTCTGAAATTCCCAACCCACAGAAATTCTGAGAAAATAAATGTCTTAAGCCACTAAGTTTTGGAATAATTTGTCACTCAGCAATAAAAAGTATGAGAAAGGTAATTTTGCAAGATATCTGCAAAGTATCTCTACCCTGATGAGTCATACCTGTCATCTCTGGCTAAACGACCCTCACTCTACCCTTCTCCTCCTCACCAAAAGAGCAGGCGTCAGCAAGGGCACACTGAGAAGGCTACCAAGCCCACGAGTGAACGATTTCCTCTTTCTTCCATGAGTGGGTGTCTCTTGACCGGACTTTGTGAAACGACCTCTATCCTGCCTCTTACCAATTTCTCTGTATCCATAATCATCACCACCCCTTGTCTCAGAAGAAGTCTATCTAAAGTAGCCTTGACCTCCATCCTCGTTTTCCACCCCTTCTGGCTTGGTCAGTGACCTTGCTTTACCAGTTATTCTCCCTTATGCTGCTACTTTCGAATTTTCTGATGGTTTTTATCCTCAGCAAATAAAGACTGTAAATGTACTCATCACTTACACTTTTAAAAAGCAAAAGCCCTCTCAGAAACCTATCTCTAGCTACCCTCTCCCTCCATTTAAAACCGAACTTGCTGAAAGAGTCCAGGACATTGGGTGTTTCGCTTTCCTTATCTCTTCCCAGTGCGAACTGGCTCCACCTACATGATTGCTCTTGCTCAGGTCAACATCTGAACTGACATGTCCAACGGATACTTTTGTCGTCCTCGTTTTATTTGATGTCTCGAAGATGTCTAACTCACGCAGTTCTCCCACTGACTTCTATGGCTCTCTGACTTCTCCCACTTTCCTGCCCACCCCTCATGTCCTTTGAGGTTTGTTTTCCTCCCACCTGACCTGTAAGTGTTTGTGTTCCTCCATCCTTTCTATCACTCTACATTTGCTCCCTGAGTGATCTCATCCATTCCCATAGCTTTTAACTGTCATCCATAAACTGAGGCTCCGCAATCTATATCTCGAGCTGAGTCTTCCTAACTCAGATCCATATATACAACTGCCTGAGGACATTTCCTGGAAGTCACGGAGACCTCATATAGAATATAGTACTCCGAACTAAATTTATCTCTTCTAACCATGTTCCCCAATCTATTGCTCTTCCTATATTCCCTCAGCAAATGGCCCGAAGATCCCCTCAGTTTCCCAAGCCAGATAGCAAGTAAGCCATGTCACTTACCCTGCAAGTATTTATTAAACACTATGTGCTTTAACGTGACAGTGACTAGAAGAGTACCCTGACTCCGCTTTCCCTCAAGCCTGCTCAATCCTACCCATTCTCTCTCCTCTCCCTCTGCCCGCTCACCTCTGTCCCTGATGCCCCGATGTCACTGCTCCACGTCCACCCGGATTAGCACAATAGCCTCTGCCTGATCACCGCGCTGCCGAGCTCATCACTCTAGTTCGTCACCCAGACTCCCTATCTGACCACGCCACTCCCATCTGTCAGATAGAAATGCCCCCAAATTTTCTCAAATTAAAGAGTTGATTTTCTTAATCTCCCATGAAATTCTGAAATTCTATCGCTATCCTTAACATGACAACAGTATGCTAAAATGAAGTGTGTGAGAACCCGAGCTCCCCACGGTCCTCAAAGCAGCAGGAGTAGTGAACCTTCCTTTATTAAAATAGGAAATGGTTATCACATGGTTGCACAGCGCCGCTCTCCTAGTCTTTTACATCAACCCAAAACATCTTTGCATATAAAATCGAGAAAGTGTACAGGTTCACAAAAATATCACCTTCTAGAAAAAAATTCATTACTCTAATAGCGGAAGCCTGAAATGAGGCCATCGGGTACGGTACTCAATAAATATTTATGAAATGAATTACGTGTTTCGTAATCATGTTCGACCATGTCTTCACTATTCTCCATAGAACTCACAGTGAAAATATACTTGCGTTCAACCCTACACAGTATTCTGTGGAGAACGAACCAAAAGTCAACTAATTTTCTTCATGTTTTTTCACTTCTCTCTAAAACCCTCTGTAACACAGGTGGATCTATGCGCAAGCGAAAGAGAGAAAAGACTGGTGACACTTGACGGAGGACCAGATCAACGCTGTCCGTGGCCGCCTGCTGCCTACATGCAAGCTGAGCCCATGACTCAGTTGTCAGACATCAACAGTTCCCAAGCCAAGTACCACCGCCACCCCGCCCCCATTCCCCGACCACGGAAGCAGATTAAAACACAGCTGAAGCAAACGGTCAGACTGTCTCTACCTGAGCTTCAATTGGAAATGAGATTTCTTTCTAACCTAGCAAAATATTTACCCCAATTTTTTTTTCTGTCTTCAATGTTGTTTTCCCTTCTCCTTATCTTCAGAAGGCCCATCTGCAGCGTTTCATTTGAACAGACCTGAAAAAACAGCATTTTAACCAATTATACGAGATATTCTGGCATTATCAGCAGTTGCACCATTTCAGATGAAATGATCTGATTACACCTGCATGCTCACACAGGCGCTGGGCCTTTAATGTTAGTCCGATATTACATTTCCTTCTTTAAAGTTTCCAAACGAGAAATAAGACCACAATTTAAAATAAGACCACAATTTTCAAACGCCAACTGTTTCAAAACCTCTGTATTTATAGAAAGAGCATGATTTTGGTGGTCAGGGGGCTCTAGAGGTCAAATCTAACCTTTAAAGCGTACCCAAAGTGCGGCCTTGAAAAAGCTGTTCTCTCACGCTTCTGGGTCTCTGCTGACAAGAACGGTCCCTCAGTTTCCTTCCTATTCCCAGCACCTGACACAGTTTTTCTCAAATGAAAATCATCGTGCAAATTCTTAAGTTCTCGGGAGACGATGAAGCACACTGATGAAGGGCAGTAAACTGAAGCCAGGTCACCTGGTTTAAATCACAGATCTGACTTTGGACGAAGTTTTCAGGGCTGTGAGCGTTAGTTCTCTCATTTATAAAATGAGAATAATAATAGACCTTACAGGATAAGAGTGCTATGATGACTAAATGAGATAATACATGCACGTAATATACCACTCAATAGTTATATAAATATTCTGGTTAATGCACCTGTTTTTATACTTTATGTGTCTAGTTAACTCAGAATAAATCAGCTCATTGCCATGCCCAGAGTGAAAGGAGCAACATGAAACCCGATGAAACTTACGAGGCTTGGGCAGTTTCAAAACCATGATTTCCTTACAGAGGAAATTTACAAGAACTCTTTTCCTTTAACAAGCGTCCCTAACTTTCTACTGTCAAAACTGAGGCCAACGAGTTGGGCGATGTGGAGAGTGGGTCTGTGGGGCGGGAGACAATACTCTGCAGAAGGAAAATCAACTTCCTTTCACCTTCCTTTGACCAAACGCTAGTGTTTCCGCTGAAATGTACTCTTTCGTAGTGCAGACTCAGCAGGCACCAATTCAGAATACAAAACACACCACGCCTGGGGAGGGAGGGGGTGTCAAAGGCTCCACCGCCCTTGGTCAGTTGACCCCATGCTGAGCAGTATGGGGGTCCGCCGCAGCCAGGTGCCGCCAGTAAGGCTGAAGCCTGAGCTTGCAGGTGCACGGTCCTTCCCTGGGAGTCCGCACCCCAGAGAGCGGGCACCGCCCACCCGCCTCATCACCATCCGCAGGGGCCGCAGCAACCGAGTCCCCAGCAGCATCCGAGCCCCTAGCCCCCTGACTGTCATGGCCCTCCCAGGCCTTCCCGTTGACCTCCGACATCGGTCTACAGGTCTCAGCGCTGCAGGTAAGGATAGCAAAAGGCTCAGGGAAGCGCCGACGCCGCAGCCGGCAGCCGCGACGCAGCCGAACCTCCCCGGCTCCGACCCGCTGAGGTCCGGAGACGCTGGAAGAAGTGCTGCCCACCCAACCCAGCCCAACCCGGCGGCGTCCCCTCACCTGGGCGAGCGCCGGGGCGGCCCGGAACCGTCCGGCCTCTCATCGGAGGACGCCAAGGGCCTCGGGCGGGGACGACAACGCGGATCCAACGCGGCCTGCGGAGCCCTGCCCGCGCCCACCCCTCTAGCCCCGCCAGCTGGGCCCGATGCCGGAGGTCCGGCCCCGCCGCCCAAGGTCCGGCCCCGGCTCCGGCCCGGCCACTGACATAGAGGAGGGCGGAGGAGGACGGGAGGGGCCCGAGCTAGGGCAGGGGCGTCACTGCGGCTGCGT